GTTTTGGGGAAGAAAATGAGACACACACATGGAGGGAAGAGAGGAAAATCAAGGTTAGGAAAGAATATTTTTGAAACATGTAGGGCTGAATTCAAATCTTGGTTTTACTGCATACTAGTTGTGTGACCTGGAGGATGTTACCTGTCTCTAAATCTTGGTTTCTTCATCAGGAACAGATACTCTGCAAGGCTGATGAGAGAATTAAGAGATCTATGGAAATTGCCTGGACACAATTCACTCACTAAGACATTCCAATATTGCTAATCTAATTATGCAAGGATAAGCTCTAAACTGTAAACACTTTTAAAATGGAGTTAATCTGACTTTAAAAAGCAACATTGTCACCCTTTACAAACATTTTAAAATCCAAACTTGCTTTTAAACAACTCTTATCTATCTCACCCTATTAAACATCCTGGGGAGTGGGAATTAACTTATCCAAAAGTAAAATTTATTTCAGCTCTGAAGATAAAACATACACAATTTCATTTACAGCAGAATCACATATTAACAGCATTTAGCAAGAATTCTCTAAATAGTTGTCTGAATTCTGTATTCAAATCTTCGCTATTTCAGTATTTTAAAGCAGAGATCTTTCAAGAGTCTATTTTTTGAATTATCTCCTTACTCAATATTGCTAATATCATTTGAAAAAGTGTCCATAAATCATCCATATACATAGTTCTGTCAGTTATCACTCTCCAAGAGTCTGATATTTAGCCTTAAAGTTAGTAGCCTTATTTAAAACACTGCATAACCCTTATACAAGGATGCAAAGTATGACAAACAGCTACACTGAATATGTAACATATATAAGGGGCACTGCAGCCACAAATGCTACAGTGTATTGTTTATAAAATTTATTTTTTAGATTCTCTCTGATCTAAATCTGACCAAGAATAACAAACTAAACGTTTTACCATTCACATGCTATTGCCTAACCTTAAAACTCAATTCACTGGTGAACAAAAGGCTGTGGGGAAAGAAATCAATATAAGTAAATCATATAAACTCTGAGTCAGGTACTTTATGTATATGTCGTCACAAAATCTTCCAAACAATCTACTGAAGCAAGCATTACATGAAATGTTAAAAATGTAGCCAGTGAGGCTGAGATGATTAAAACTTCTTACCCAAAATCAGATTTCTCCAATTCCAAGGTTCATGCTTTCCTTTCTCAAAATATTAATAAGCAAACCAAAACAATAAAACATAAAAATAAATAATGGCCTAATGAAATAGTTCTCCATGGAAAGACTACCAAGGTAATACAAGTAGAAAGAGAAAACTGTGGGTGGTTGACCCCATTTGCTTAATAAAAGTCAAAACTTATATATGAATATGTAAACACCTTTCTGGACAGAATCGCCAAAACGAAAAAAGTTAACTTTACCTCTTATTCCAAATGAGTACCCTCACCACACACACTTTTTTTTTTTTTTTTGGAGACGAAGTCTCACTCTGTCACACACGCCAGAGTGCAGTGGTGCAATTTCGGTTCACTGCAACCTCTGCCTCCCAGGTTCAAGTGATTCTCCTGCCTCGGCCTCCTGAGTAGCTGGGATTACAGGCGCATACCACCATGGCCAGCTAATTTTTGTAATTATTTTATTTATTTTTTTATTTTTTTACTAGAGGAGGAGTTTCATGTTGGCCAGGACAGTCTCGATCTCTTGACCTCATGATCCACCTGCCATCATGACTTTATATGTACATCATTTATGAAGTACAGCATGATGTTCTGATATATGTAAACAATGTGGAGTGATTAAATCAAACTAATACATCTATCACCTTTCTTATCTTTTTTGTAGTAGCAGCTGCTGGTATAGGAAAGTAACTGAAATACCATTAGACATTTACGTTGCCTAAGAATAAATACATTTTTTCAAGTAAATCACACTGTTAAAATATTACTAAAACAAGCCTGTCTGGGCAACATTGCGAAATCTTGTCTCTACAAAAACAAACAAAACAAAAAAAAGTACCAAAAAAAAAAAATGGCTGGGCATGGTGGTGCACGCATGCAGCCCAGCTACTCCAGAAGCTGAGGTGGGAGGATCACTTGAGCCCAGGAGGTCAAGGTCACAGTGAGCTGTGATTGCACTACTACACTTCAGGTTGGGTGATACAGCAAGACTCTATCTCAAAAAGGAAAAAAAATCCCAGCTAGATACAAAATACTGCAAATAAATATTTAAAACACTACTTGGTAATTCAATAAATACTTGTACTACTCAGTATGTGCTCAGACCACAATGCTAGGCAACATGGGATTAGAAGGTAAGCAAAACAGTCCCTACCCCTGAAGTTCTTACAGTATTGGGGCGGGGAGGTACGCATGATGAGATGAAGGAGACAATCCATATAATTGCAAAATGGTATCAGAGATTATATCAATGATCTGATATAGACTGGTAAGTCCAATCACACCCTCTGATGAACTAACATTTAAATAAACTTTTAAGAAAGATAGAGTCTCGCTATGTTGCCTAGGCTGGCATCGATCTCCTGGGCTCAAGTAATTCTCCCACCTCAGCCTCTCAAGTAGCTGGGACTAGAGGTTTGCACCACCACACCTAACTCTTAAATCAATTACTGAAGACTGAAAAGCCAGTCAAAGAAAAGTCAAGGCAGTTTGGGGCAGTAGCCAGGTGAGGCTTCCCAAGTTTGTCACTGGGTTTGAATCTAGAATCTGCTACTTAATATGTGTATGAATTTGATCACATTATTAATCTGAGTCTCAGTATCTTCATTTATGTATTTTTTTTTTTTTTTTTTTGAGACAGAGTTTCCCTCTGTTGCCCAGGCTGGAGTGTAGTGTCAAGATCTTGGTTCGCTGCAATTTCCGCCTCACAGATTCCAGCGTTCCTCCCACCTCAGCTTCCTGAGTAGCTGGGACTATAGGCGTACACCACCACGTCCAGCTATTTTTTGTATTTTTAGTAGAGACAAGGTTTCACTATTTTGGCCAGGCTGGTCTTCAACTCCTGACCTCATGTGACCACCAGCCTTGGCCTCCCAAAGTGTTAGGATTAGTGGCATGAGTCACCCTGCCTAGCCAGGGTCTTCATTTTTTTAAAAAAGGATAATAATAATGCTTTCAGCATGAAGTTGTGTGACATTTTAAAAAAATATAATGCATCATGCCTGCAATAAATATCAGCCATTATGTCACTGTCATTAGCCGCATTTGCAAAGACCCAGAAAGGGGGAGAAAGAGCTAGTGATATTTTAGGGTAGGAGAAGAGACAATACAAACTAGCTGAAATTCAACGAAAAAAGGAGAAGAGGTAGGGGAGAGCACATCCTGAAAGCTGTATTAACTGTGCTAATTCAGTAGTCACTAGCTACATATGGCTAGTAACCACTTGAAATGTGGCTACTTCAAACTGAAAGATATGCTCTAAGTGTAAAATACACAATATATTTCAAAGACTTAGTATTTTAAAATGCAAAATATTTTAGTCTTTTATATAAATTACACCTTAAAATATTTTAGATATACTGTGTTAAATAAAGCATATTAAAATTACAATAGCCAAAAGGCAGAAGCAACCCAACTGACCATGAACATATGAATGGATTAAAAAAATGTGATATATGCATATAATTGAATATTATTCAGTCTTACAAAGTAAATTCTGGCTGGGTGCGGTGGCTCACACCTGCATAATCCTAGCACTTTGAGAAGCCAAGGCGGGCAGACTGCTTGAGCTCAGGAATTTTGAGACCAAGATGGGCAACATGGCTAAACCCTGACTCTAAAAAACACAAAAGTAGCCAGGCACGGTGACACGAGTTTGTAGTCCCAGCTACTTGGGGGGCTAAAGCAGGAGGATCGCTTAAACTTTAGGAGGTGGAGGCTGCAGTGAGCCATGATTGTGCCACTGCACTCCAGCCTGGGTTACAAAGTGAGAATTTGTCTCTAAAAAAAAAAAAAAGTAAATTCTGACACATGCTACAACATAAATGAACCTTGTGGACATCAATTACACTAAGGGAAATAAATCAATCACAAAAGGACAAACACTGTCTTACTCCACTTATATGAAATTCCTAGAGTAGTCAGTCAAATTCAGAGACAGAAAGTGTAGAATGGTGGTTGCTAGAGGCAGGGAAATGCGGAAATAGGGAGTTATTGTTTAAATGGTACAGGGTTTCAGTTTTGCAAGATGATGAGTTCTGGAAAGCAATGGTGGTAACAGTTGCACAACAATGTGAATGTATTTAATGTCATGGAACTGAACACTTAAAAATGGTTAACATGATAAATTTTGTTATGTGTGAATAACCACTATCAAAAAATTAACTTCAGTCCTTCCTTTTTATTAAACTGTCTAATAAGAAAATTATATATGTGGCTCATACTGCTTTTTGTTTTTTTTGAAAGACCAAGTCTCACTTTGTCCCCATGGCTAGAGTGCAGTGGTGCAATCATAGCTCACTGCAACCTCAAAACTCCTGAGCTCAACCTTGCTGGACTAGCTGGGACTACAGGTGTGTACCACCACACCTGGCTAAATTTTTATTTTTTTGTAGGCAGGGTTTCTGTGTTTCCCAGGCTGGTCTTGAACTCCAGGGGGTGGAGGCTGCAGTGAGCTATGATCGCTGAGCCATGATGCTCAAGCAATTCTGCCACCTTGGCCCCCCCCAAAGTGTTGGGATTACAAGTGTGAACCACTAAGCCCGGCTCACACTATATAAAAAATAAGTCACGGTAAAAATTTCCAATGAGAACGGTTTTGATGAACCAGATCTAATAACAGGAAGCCCTAACACTAGGGTAAGCAAACTTTCTGTTACGGGCTAGACAGTAAATATTTTTGGCTCTACCAGCCACATGGTCTGTTCTGAAAGGAGCTTTAGATAATACATAAGCAAATGGGCACAGTGGATTTGGAATACCACAGTTTGCTGACCCCTGCCCTAAGGCACCCATTATAAACAATGACTCTTAAATTTTCATAAATTTTGTGGGCCAGTTTAGTAACAGTATCTTGAAATCTGCCACAGTGAGAATATTTACATCATGGAAATCCAGCAAACACTACAAATCAGTGTTTTTCCTGAACAACTGGTTGGTAAACCAGCACTTACCAGCAAACCACTCACGACGTAATGAATTAACTTCTCTTCTACACATCTAAAATTGTATTTATTATGAACCACCTTTGAGAGAAATGCGTAGCTATTCAAATCACTTTCTGTGCTCTGTGGTTCAGATGACAGTCTCCAGCTAAGAAAGGTGGTTCTACAAGGATAATGTTCCAGGGAGAGAAACAAGAGTGAACATCATGAAGTAGTCAAGAGTTGCACTTCGGAGTGGTGACCTAGGAAGAACAGCTTAAGAGGAAGCTTCCACAAGAGGGCTGGAAGCTATGAGATTATGTATATACTACACTTAGTAAAGGTTCAACAATTAGTAGTTGTTATTGAATATATTATTGTACGTAATGGACTAGATTCATCTGCAGACAATTTATTATCCCCTAGGCTCTGGTAATACAATGGTGAACAATCACAGCCCCTCTCTAAAGAGAATGAATCACATAAATACACAATTTTAAGTTGTGATGAATTCTTACTAAAAACAGGCTGCTGTGAGAAATGCAACAGGGGATCCCAATCTAATTTGGACAATCAGAAGCAGATGTTACCTGGAGAAACTGACCTTTGCATTGAGATTTAAAGATGGAAGAGAAATGGGCAAAGAGTGTTCTTGCATTCTAGGTAGCAAGAATAAATTGTATAAAATTCCTGAGGCAGGAAAAAAATGATGTATTAACAGGTCAAGTGAGCCAAGCAAGCAAAGAAAGCAGGCATCCAGAGAATGGTGAGGGCAGAGAACAGTATTACATAGAGCCTCACTAACCCACCATATATTCTGAGACCAATAGGGAGTCATTAGCTTTACACAGAGGATGGCATGCTCTGACTAACATTTTTCAGAGATCACTCTTGGAATGGCTGGTGGGAGAGTTATAGAAAAGTTAGGTGACCGACCAGTAGGCTACTGCAGTTTCTAGGCAAGAGGTAATGGCAACTTAGCGGAGCTACTACCCAATATTTTAAGTACACACTTAATCTATTAAATACGCCACCACAGAAATTTTTGCTCTCAGGACACCATTTTACAACTTCTGAACTCCAAAGAGTTTTTTTTATTTAGGTTACAGCTGTTAATATTTATAATATTACAAATTAAAATGAAATAATCCTTAAAAATAAATTCATTTAAAAATAATACATTATATGTTAATATAACACCCTCATGAAAAATAAATTTTCTCAGTGATAAGACTGGCATTATTTTACATTTTTAGAAATCACTTTAGTCTCATAATAGAAGACAGCTTTTCATACCTGTTGTGATATCCTACATCTTAAAACCTCTAGCCAAGTACACTGCTCATTTTTGAGAAAATTGGACTGAAAAATAAAAATAACATCTCAGAATTGCTATGAAAATAGTTTCATCTCATGGTCCCCTTAACAGGGTATTGGGGAACCCTCCCCAAACCACACTGAGCTCTACTGCTCAAATAATAAAAACTAAATCTGTCTAGCTGGTTTTCCAGTTTTTCCCAGAATGCCCCCAGCAAAAATAATAATGAAAAAGCAAAGTAATCACAGTAAGATACCATTTCACAGTCAGTAGGATGGCTATAATCACAAAGACATTAATAAGTATTACTGAAATGTGGTAACTGGAATCCTCATCATTGCTGGTGGGAATGTAAAATGGTACAGACACCTTGGAAAATAATTTGAGAGCTCCTCATAAAGTTCAACATAGAGCTTTGACCCAGCAATTTCCACTCTAGATCTACACCCAGGAAAATGAAAACATATGGCCCCACAAAAACTTACACACCAGTGTTCAGAGGCATTAGTCATAATAGCTAGAAAGTAGAAATCACCCAATGTCTACCACGTGACAGAGAAATAAAATGTGGTATATACCCACACAATGGAATGTTATTCGGTAATAAAAAGGAACTACCAGTACATGCTTCAACAGGAATGAACCTTGAAAACATTATGCTAAATGAAAGCCAATCACAAAAGACCACATGATTCTACTTACAACAAAAGTCCAGAATAAGCAAATCTATAGACAAAAAAATAGATCAGTAGTTGCCTAAGCCTGGGGGACACAGGGAGAAATGAAGGGTAACTGCTAAAAGGATACAGAGTTTCTTTTGAGGGTGATAAGTATGTTCTAAAATTGACTGCACGGCCCTGTGAATGTATTACATCAATTACAGACTTTAAAACGGTGAATTGTTTGATACGCAAATTATACTTCAATTATGCTGTTTCTTAAAGAAAGCTAAATAATCTCTGTTAATCAGAATCATTAAATAATGAGTTTTTCACATGTCCAGTATTAGAATAAAGCAAATTAGAAAACAATGATCTCACAGACTTTTTTTCCCCTCAGATATCTTACTACACTGATTCAATCCAACCTTCCGGATAAGACGTTGTCCAGTAGAAATATAATATATATGAGCCATAAGTAATTTTAAACTTTTAAGCAGCCATACTGAAAAAAAAGTTTTTAATAAAAGGTCAAATTAATTTTGATATTTTACTTAACTCACTATCTGCAAAATACTATTTGAACACATATAGTATATCAAAACTATTAAGATATTTAAGCTATTTTGTTCATACCAAAATTTCAAACGCTGGTGTAAATTTTACAGTTAACAACACATCTCAATTCAGTTTAAGCACTTAATAACCACATGTAGGTGATGGTATCAAAGTGGACAGTATAGTTCTGGAACTACACTATACAGTATAATGTTAAATGATGTGTGTGATGGTAACCCTAAGGCAATTTCCCATATCAAAGAAAGGCTCAATTTGACTCAACACATTTAAATTATGTCTAAGTACATTAATATTTTTCCAAACTGACAAAAGGCACTTCCTAAAACCAGAGTATATATTGCCTGAACATTTCAAGTAAATGTATTTTGAAATGTCTACAAATAACCTAGCAGTCTATGAAATCTGAAAATAAGCTAATTAGAAGTTATACAGAAACTTCCCTCCATTCTCTGTGCTAATGTCTCACATATATAACTCTCCATTTTTCTAGACATTATGTTGCTCATGGATGCTTGGAAATCTTCAAAGCTCTTTTCAATAGCTGATGATAAATAAATAACAAAAAACTAATCTGACACGCAGGGACTTTGTGTCATTACACATTTACCTTTTTGTATCTATTTACTTAGATACAGGTTGAGCATCCCCAACCCAAAACTATGAAATCTGAAATGCTCCAAAATCTGGATTTATTAACACCATGACACCACATGTGGAAAATCACACATGACATCTTTGCTTTCTGATTCAATGTATACAGTTTGTTTCACTCATAAAAATTATTTAAAATACTGTATAAAATTATCTTCAGGCTCTGTGCATAAAATGTACATGAAATAAAACTGAATTTCATGTTTACATTTAGGTGCCATCCCAAGACATCTATTACGTATATGCAAATATTCCAAAATCAAAAAAGAAAGAAAGAAAGAAAATCAAAAATCCCAAACACTTCTGGTCCCAAGTATTTCCTATAACGGATACTCAACCTGTATCACGAAAATCCCTATTAACGAAAGCACCTTTAAATATAAGAAAGAAAGAAAGAAAATCAAAAATCCCAAACACTTCTGGTCCCAAGTATTTCCTACAACGGATACTCAACCTGTATCACGAAAATCCCTATTAATGAAAGCACCTTTAAATATACATAGTACAGTTTATATTCTAACTATCTGTTAGTAAAAATTTATGTTACTCAATTGATTCTGAGTGCTCCATGAATAATAAATTTCAATCTAAACTGAAAAGAATTTAAGCTTTATTAATAACCTTGAACAAGTAACATTATTAAATACCAAATGTATATGGCACGAAAACATTAAGGCAATCTTTTTCTGCTTTTTGGTAGTAACGACCGGAAACCAATGGAAAAACAGGATGAATTACCACCTTACAACCTATTTTACAATTTATCCAAGAAGTTTAACACAATTTCATCTAATCAATTATTACAGCATGTTCCTATAAATACCATTTTAGTATAATGTGTTAAGGAATCTACATTATATAGAAATACTGAAAAAAAAAAATTTAACTTATAGAAAATGTAATTTGCCTGATACAGAGCATAAGCCTTCAATAGTATCCTCTGGAGGTCTTCTGCTTACCCTCTGACCCTCCAAAATTAGGTGCAAATTTTCAAAACTAATATTTCCCAATTTGTAACTGGACATTTTCAGTGGAATCTTAATGTCATTAAGTATTTTTTAATGACAAATTTTCATTTGTAGCAAATAGTTTCAATCTATCAAACCCTTTACAATTTTAAAGTATAAAATGGCTTATCTTTTTTTGTGCTTCAAGTAGATTTTACAAATAGGACATTTGAAAACTGCTTTTATTCTTCCACATTTTCCTGTATCTGTTTCCCTTGCATATACAAGCTCAACTTGCCTTCAGATTCTTTGGTGTGGTGGTAAGCATCAATTTTCATCACATTTTCTGCTTCAACATAAAACAAAGATCAAGAATTCAAAAATTAACTGCCAAGAGAAAAGTTTACTTCAGAAAGACTTTAATTTCATCTATTAACAATTCACTTTAGGCTGGGTGCGGTGGTTCACGCCTGTAATCCCAGTACTTTGGAAGGCCAAGGCGGGCAAATCATGAAGTCAGGAGTTCAGACCAGCCTGGCCAAGAGTCTCTACTAAAAATACAAAAATTAGCCAGGTATGGTGGCACACGCCTGTAGTCCCAGCTACTCAGGAGGCTGAGGCAGGAGAATCACTTGAACCCATGAGACGGAGGTTGCAGTGAGCCAAGATCATGACATTGCACTCCAGCCTAGGTGACAGAATAAGACTCCGTCTCAAAAAAAAAAAAAAATTGCTTTGGTTACAGCAAAGTAAAATAAAAGCATTCACAGAATTTATAATTTTAATTTTACCATCACAAAATGCAAAACAAAATCCTCAAAGCTATAACATTATATATCTACTGAAAAGAATTTTTCTATTTATAAAATATTGACTATTTCTAATCTTTTGCAGTAAAATGCTGAAAGCAGCCAGGATGATAGAGGCATGAATTAGGAACCCAAGCGCTTTAAAACTTAATATGGCTACACACCCACTAAAATGGCTAAAATTAAAGAGACTGACAATATCAAAATGCTGGCAGGGATGCGGAGCAACAGGAACTCCCATATATCTTCATTGATGGGATAGTAAAATGATACAAGCATTTTTTAGTATATGTGCAGCTGAAGCCAGCTCTACAGAAGCTTTTTTTTTTTTGAGATGGAGTTTCACTGTTCCCCACCCTGGGCCCGATCTCGGCTCACTGCAATCTCCACCTCCCAGGTTCAAGCGATGATTCTCCTGCCTCAGCCTCCAGAGTAGCTGGGATTACAGGCATCCATCACCACGACCAGCTAATTTTTGTATTTTTAGTAGAGACAATTTCACCATGTCGGCCAAGGCTAGTCTCAAACTCCTGACCACAGGCAATCCACCCACCTCAGCCTCCCAAAGTGCTGGGATACAGGCATGAGCCACCTTGCCAGGCTCACAAACATTTTTAAAAACATAGTTTCTCAGAAAATTAAAACATACAATTGCCCTATGACCTACTCAAACCAAATCTAAGTATTAGCCATGAAAGATAAAAGAGTAAGTCCACAAAAAACTTGTATAAGACTGTTCGTAGTAACTAACTGGAAACACCCCAGGTGACCCTCAACAGTGAATAGGTTAATTATGGTATATACATACAGTGGAAAACTACATAGCAATAAAAAGGAACTACTGATATACGCAACAAACACAAAACTCAAACATATTATGCTGAGTGGGGGAAAAAAAAAAAAAACTCCTTACCCAGAAAAATACGCACAGTACTATAGACTCTATAGGATCCCACACGTTCAGTTCTAAAACAGGCAACTCCCTAATTTACAGCACAAAAAAAAAAAAAAAAAGGCGACGTGGTTGATGGAAGGTAAAGTGACTAAAATGACTGGGAAAAGGCAAGAAAAAACTTTCTAATCAATTACAATGTTCTATATCTTGATGGGGCTTGGGCTACACAGGTGTAAGCATTTGTGAAAACTCATGGAATTACAACCATATGCATTTCATTGCATATCAAAATTAGGTCAAAAACGTAAAAAATTAAGTTGAATATGGGCAAATAAGTTCACATCGCTGAAGTGACATATACTGGTGTCATCTACTGATACATGCAACTTACTCTGAATTGCTCCCCCAAAATAAAATGGATTTATAACCAATTATAATACAGTAAAATGCTAATTGTAGATGACGGCCATATGTGTGTCCACTGCCCAATTCTTTCAACTTTTCTGTATGTCTGAAAATTTAAAAAAATGGTAAGGAAAATTTTCACAAGCATTGGGAGACAAAAAAAAAAAAAAGGTGATAATTCAGTTGGTGGTAAAAGTTTCTGTTATTTGACGTTACACAGCTCACTGCCTCACAAAACACACTACCTTTGGAATTCGCTAAACCAATACCCCAATCACTTACTGTCCTTGGGGAAACTTATAGGTACATTTCAGGAACTGTTATTTCCTATAACAAACTGTTCACATTGTTTGAGATATTCAGCAATTAAGTCAATAATTATAGAAAATACGACATATTCAACAGCACACTAAAATTATTTGTTAAATTCCACCAAGGTTCTTAATTAACAGCAAGATTTGTATTCCTGAACAAAGTTTAAGTAACATTCTCCAATTAACTTCAATTTTGTTTTATTTGGTTGCAACGCCAATATCAACATTGCTCTAGCCCCTCTAAAATCAAACAAAACCCGGACGACAGACATACTAAAACGGAAGGAGCAAGTCATCAATGAATGAAAGTCATTCACATTTCTCCTTAAGCCTAGTACTATTATTATTACTTAACACGGAGCTAAAAACGGTTTCTACGTCATTATTTTTTTTAAAAAAGGTTGCAAGGTGGGAAAGATTTCAGGAGTTAAAATGCAGAACTAAATGTACACGTGCACCTCACCCCAAAACCTCCCTTAACAAACAGGCAGGTAAAACAATGAGGATCCCATCCACCCTCTTTTTTAATAATTCATTAAACAAAATCGCAGCTTGAGCTAAAGCGAACCCTCGCCCCCGCCCAGCCTCCACCCCGCCCGGAGCCAGGCGGTGAGTCCCTTTCCTTTGTGAACAGTCGGAGAAGAGGCGACTGAGGGCGGGGAGCTGGGGGAGAAGGCTGAGGGTCGACGGATGCTAGAGAAGGAAGGCTCCGAGAAAAGCAGCGTCGGCCCGTCCCACAAACAGGCCGCGCCGCCACGCCACAAACCACTGCGGTGTCCCAAGGCGCAAACCCACGAACTTGGGGTGTGATCTAATTTGGGACGACGCCCGGGAGAATGGCCTAGGGCACCTCGGAGGTCGACCCCTCTCCCATGCCCTTCCAAAAGGTCTCCAGGGGCGTGGGGGGCGGAGGTCCTGCCGCCACCCCCAAACCGGGCCGAGCCCCAGACGGCCTTACCTGCTGGACGGAGCTATTCTCGGGCACAGCAAATTCCTCCTTCTCCTTCGGAGTCTTCACGGTGACTTTCATAATTTTGGGCTCCGCAGAGGCAGAGGCAGCGGCCGCTGAGGCGCCGGCGCCGGCACCTTCGGCTCCGGCGGCGCTATCCTGGGAGCCCGGAGGGCCGCCGCTTTCACCACTCTCAGCCATGGCGGCGGCGGCGGCGGCGGCGGCGGCGGCGGCGGTGACTCAGGCGAGCAGGAGGGAGCGGGTGAGTGAGGAGGAGCCGGCAGACTCAAGAGCCGGCAGGCCTGGGCAGCGAAGAATGGAGAACACGCCGCCTCAGTAGCAACAGGCGCAGGGCCACCCTAACGGGTGTGGGGCCTCGAAGCTCAGTGCAGGCTCCGGCGCAGGCCCGGGTCAGGCGCTGGGCAGCCGCGGTGTGTTCAGGCGTCGCTCGCTCACATCCACATCCGCAGCAGCCGCCGCTTCCTCCTCCCTGCCCCTTCCCCCACGTCCCTCCACCGGCGCCGCGCGGAGCACGCCGGGTAACGCGCCTGGCGGCGTCGCCGAGTCATCCCCGTCTGGCGCCGCTTTGAGCTCAGCCTACGTGCCTTTTCCTTTCCCGCTCCATTGCCCAAAGTGTAGGCGAAGCCAGCGTGAAGGACTGAAACCAAAATGGGGCGGGGTAGGTCAGTTCATTTTTTTTTTTCACTCACTTCACCAAAAACTGAATCACAGTTTGTAGTTAAGCACTGTAACGGCGCGCCGAGATGACGTCACGGTTAGCGAAATTACTAGAAAGGGACCACTGGGCTCTGCGGCCGCTGATGCGCTTGCGCGCTCGCAGTCTAGGTAGTCTTCCCACCTTACCTCATGCGCTGCTGGCCCGTGTTCATCCTTCCGCGCTTTCACTGTCGCCTTGGCCTGCCTTGCCTTTCTGCGTTCCCAGCTGGGAGGAGGGTCTGGTGATAAAATAGCGGCGAGGTATTTTGTTATTTTAATACATTTAGCGTTTGATATTTGGAGGGCTCGTATTGCCCAATGCGGGGGAGTTGGGGTAAGTTAATGGCGGAAAGGCCCTCAGCACAACTAACCGAAAATGAAGTAAACGCCCGTGACTGCCCTGCGCAATCCCGCGGAGTCATTGCTTCATGGCCAGAGCTTATTTACTGCCCTCAGGTCAGCCTGGTTTGGTCAGACGATCGATCAGGCGACCTGTATTGACAGTGGCCTGCTGCTGTCATGACAGCGGCGGCCTCTGCTGCTGTGATGACAGCTGTGCGCGAGCGCCCCCAGATTCTCTGAACTCGATTTCCTACAGTGTGTGGGGCCGAACAGGGTGTCCGAGCAGTGTCCACCCAACTGGGACAATTAAATATAGCTAAGGTGTTCACTTTATATTCTGTCAGATTAAGTTACTGCTCTATTTCAGGCTTTAAGTGGCATTAAGGATAGTTCTAAAATTATTTTCAGTGTAATACAGATAGAACTAAGAAATTATATCTGAGAATCCTAATTTGAAATGACGTCATTTGCTTTTAAAGATGACTTGCAAGGAATGTGCAAACCAGCACATTAACTATATTAATCAGTGTTGCACAATTTAAATCCTGACAGCCCACTGTGACCCAAATCCGCAAAGATGCATTCTGCATTTCTGCTCCTAAGCCGTCCAACCCTGTTCTGAGAATAAATACTGTTACATAAACACGACTTTTTAGCAGAGCTCTATGGAATCTGGATCTAAGAGAATTCTGAGGATATCAATTTCAATATAGACATCATTTGATATCACCTAAATTTCTGGCAGCGTGGCTCAATAACAAGGCCTTCTGCTGAATGAAGGATGACTACTTGGTTATGTCTAGGTGTGAGGTAGTCACTGCTTCTCAAGGTAGAAAGTGTCACAACTGGACAAGCAAGCATTTGGAATTTCTTCCGTACGTCTAAATAAAATTTTTCTTCAACTTCATTAGCTCCCCCATTACTTGTTATCCCCTGTCATGCTGTGTCTTACCTGCACACTTTGCCTAGGCTGCCTTCCTGTACCTAGAATGACTTTCCTCTTGCCTTCACCTGTCTAACTTCTACTTATCCTATATCACATTCCCCAGGAAGACTTCACTCCCTACCATTTAGAGGTACGTTTTTCTCTTGATTATCCGGTAAATACCCTGTATGTGTGTGTGTATCTCTCCCTGCATTTATGGACTTTGCAATTACCTGTGTCTACATTATTGTCTAAAAACTTTTGATGTGTGTGACACCATAAGGTAATAAGATTTATCTGTAAGAAGATACTGTATATTTATTGATTGCTATGGCACTTCTTAAGATATAATCCTGACCTGTAAGAGACATTGGAGGTGAGGGGACTATGGTCTAAATCAGAGATTAGCAAACTGTCTGGAAGGACTGCATTGTAAATACTAAGTTGGTGCAAAAAAAAAAAATGGCAAAAACCCCAATTATTTATGTAGCAATCTAAAAGTTTAGGCTTTGTGGTCCACAGGATCTCAGTCTAAAATATTCTGTTCTGCCCTTATATCACAGAGGAACTGTAGACAATACATACATGAATAATCGTAGCTGTGTTTACTGAAAACCCCTACTTGCAGAACAAAAACAGACATAGAATCTGATTTGGCCCACAGAAGAGAGTTTACCAACCCCAAGTCTAAATGTTTATTTGTGGCATTTTCTTCCGAGTGGTTTTTGTTTGTTAAGCGGTCTGTCTGGAGAAAATTTTAAGAGCATATTTTATCACAATTAATGTCCCAATACTGTATAATACAGCATTGAATTGAACGTGCAAGAATAATAAGACTCAGTTTCTGCTGTCAAAAACTTAGAGTGATAGTTGGATGGTGGGGGTGAGGGATGGGAGGGAGATTGGCAGTGATGTGCTGATAAATGACTAATAACCAATCCTTCTGAAAATATATTTGCCAATTTCCTTGATGCAAATGCTTACCAACTTGAGATCATCTGCCTCACAAAACACCTGAAATTTTACCAGTAAGCCCTCACAAGCCAGTATGAGCCAGCTCCAACTGAAGAAGTTTTATTTTGAGAAAATATGTTATTCAGAGTTCAAGTATATTGATACGTTATTCACATGATAGAATAATTCTTTTTTGATAAAATGATTCAGTCAATCAATAAGAATTCATTGAGTATCCTCTGACAAACTTTAATCCTCTAGTCCTGTCCAGGAAAATACCTTTAATACAAGGTAGTACATGTGTCATGTAAGTGATGTAAATAACATGCTTTATCTTGTCACTACCTTACACAAAAATCTATCTTCAGTTTCCCACTGCCTAGAAAATAGAGCCAAAGCTTCTTAATTAGGTCTTCCACAGCTAACTCCTGGTGTTCACTCCTGTTGCTCTCAATATATACACTCCAGTCCAGTCAGATACCTTTATTACTGGAAGCACTTGTACATTATACAAGTCCTTTGTACACTGTACATATGTAATATGTACATTGTACATATATTACCCTCTCTGGAAGCACGTGTACATTATACGTTTCTTACTTCCGAACATTCCTTCAAGTCACTACACCTACCTTCTTGTACCCATTATTGTCACCTGCTCTCTAAAACTGTCCTTGAATACCCAAGCTACAGAATCATTTCATTTGTCTGACCTTCCATCATAATTACCTGCACAATTCACTTGACCATTCATCACTTGTAGCACAGCTTCTATTATCTTAAACCGTTTCTCCTGCTACCAGTCTACTTTACACCCTCATTAGTTCTGGCTTATATTACAGCAGTAACCTCCTACTGATTCCTCTGCCTTAATCTAAAGTCTCCATCCTGAACTCTGTTTTCTAGTAATGCCATATGTTATCCTAGAACAAAGCTTTGATCGTGACATCTGCTTGGAAATTTCTAGTCACTCTCACCAAAGTGTTAGGAGTAATGTCTAAGCTTTGTGGCATATGTCCAGGGGCTTCTGTGACCCAAAGACCTCGTTCTTCACTCATATTGTATTCTCTACCAGACTGGTCAACTAAGCTCTCCAAGCATGTCTCACTTTCCAGCTTCAACTGCAAGTAGAAATTCTTCCCCCTTATTTTGACCCCATCGTTTTACCCATCCTGCAAGACTCAAATGTGACATTCCCTAATAACCCTTTTTGGATCTGAAATAGTCTTTAAATCCCGTCTATTCCCATATAGCTTTATTACCTTTTTGATGTCAGTTACTACATTCTGCCTTGTATCATACTTCTGTGCTTATCTCCTTTATTAAAGGCCTTGAAAACATGGATCAAGTCTTAATCATCGTTTATACCAGAGGTCCGCAGCACCTGGGCCATGGACCAGTACCAGTCTGTGCCTGTTAGAAACTGGGCTACACAGCAGGAAGTGAGTGACAGGAGAGCAAGCATTACTGCCTGAGTTTTAACTTCTGTCACAGCAGCAGCAGCATTAGATTCTTATAGGAGGCCGATCCCTATTATGAACTGTGCATGTAAGGGATCTAGGTTGCGTGCTCCTTAGGAGAATCTAATGCCTAATGATCTGAGAAAGAAGAGTTTCATCCCAAAACCATCTCCCCTTGACCTCCAGTCCATGGAAAAATTGACTTCCACAAAACCAGTCCCTGGTGCCAAAAAGGTTGGGGAACTGCTGGTCAATGTAAAAGTAATTGTGGTTTTTGCATTGTTGGAATTTGTCATTTGATATTGAAATGCATTCTTAAACAAATGTGGTTACGTTATACATCATTTTAATGTGCATTTCTTTATTTTTTTGCTAATGACTTACTGCTATTTATATTATTTTAGACTGTGGAAATGATGTTAGACATAAAACAAATTCAAGCAATTTTCTTATTCGAGTTCAAAATGGGTTGTAAAGCAGCAGAGACAACTCACAACATCAACAGCGTATTTGGCCCAGGAACTGCTAATGAGAATGTACAGTGCAGTGGTGGTTCAAGAAGTTTCGCAAAGGAGAGGAGAGCCTTGAAGATGTGGAGCATAGTGGCTGGCCATTGGAAGTTGACAACAACCAATTAAGAGCAATCATCAAAGCCAGTCCTCTTACAACTACACGAGAAGTTGCCAAAGAACTCAACGTTGACCATTCTGCAGTCGTTTGGCATTTGAAGCAAATTGGAAAGGTGAAAAAGCTTGATAAGTGGGTGCCTCATGAACTAAGTGAAGATTTTAAAAATCATCATTTTGAAATGTCATTTTCTCTTAATCTACGCAACAACAGTGAACCGTTTCTCGATCAGATTGTGACGTGCCACAAAAAGTGGATTTTATACGATAACCAGCGACAACCAGCTCAGTGGTTGGACCAGGATGCTCCAAAGCACTTCCCAAAGCCGAACTTGCACCAGAAAAAGGTCATGGTCACTGTTTGGTGGTCTGCTGCAGGTCTGATCGACTACAACTTTCTGAATCCTGGGGAAACCCTTAATCTGAGAAGTATGCTCAGCAGTTCGATGAGATGCACCAAAAACTGCAATGCTTGCAGCCAGCATTTGTCAACAGAAAGGGCCCAGTTCTTCTCTATGACAGTGCCCAACTGCATGTTGCACAGCCAGTGCTTCAGAAGTTGAACGAATTGGGCTACAAAGTTTTGCCTCATCCTCCATATTCACCTGACCTCTCACCAACTGACTACCACTTCTTCAAGCATCTCGACAACTTTTTGGAGGGAAAATGCTTCCATAACCAGCAGCATGCAGAATATGCCTTCCAAGAGTTTGTCGAATTCCAAAGCATGGATTTTTATGCTACAGGAGTAAACAAACATTTCTTGTTGGCAAAAATGTGTTGATTGTAATGGTTCTTATTTTGATTAATAAGGTGTGTTTGAGCCTAGTTATAATGATTTAAAATTTACAGTCTAAAATCACAATTACTTTTGCTCCAAGCTAATACCACACAGTGCCCAGTGCAATTTCTTGGCATGAAACCATTTATTGTTGAGCTGAATTGTTGAACTGTCATGTTTTCCACCAGAGAGGAAACTCCTTTAGAGCAATAGATCATATTTTATACTCCTTTGTCTCCCAAAGTTTATAGTATAGTGACGTAGATAGATGATTGATTAATTCAAAGAATGATAGATGTATACATACATGCTTTAGAACTTACTTGCTTTACAATAGAAGTTCAGAGAAAGGAAACATTATTCATTCATTCACTGCCTGGGACAGGGGAAGGTGGAAAACTAAGAGGTTTTCCTTAAGGAATGGATATGATTTTTAAGTGTGTTGAGAGGGACAGTGTCTTGAAAAAGAGTCCATAATGGGAAATAGAAACTCTCCTAGAATACCAGTCGCAAAGTGGGTCCATAGTCTAGGAACAATTGGAACACTTCATAAATATCTCTAGGGCTACTTCAAAATCAAAGGGAATAAACTTCCAATTGTTTCCGAGCATGAGGGCTGGAGAAGAGGTGGTGGTAAAAAGGGGTGTTTATTAATTTGCCAACTAAAACTAGGCACTGGGTAGGAGGTGCAAATATTAGATTGCTGCAAAAGTAATTGCGGTTTTTGCTATATTTTAATGACAAAACTGCAGCTGCTTTTGCACCAAACTAATATATAGCCACTACAAACTTTGGATAAAAGTTCCTATGTAGGATCCCACATTTTTCTTGGTGCTGTGCCAAGCACTGGCTAACACAGAAGCAAAGAGGGGGCTGCAGCAACACAAGGTAAGTAGACATACCAGCCTCTGAAGAACACAGCTAGGGCTCTATTCGTTTTTTCACTTTTTATTTTGAAGTAATTATAGGAAGTTGCAAAAAGAACAGAGTCCTGTGTACCCTTGCATCTCCCAGTGGTGGCATTTGATATTGTTGCATAATATCAAAATTAGGAAATTGACTTGTTAACTAGACTACAGATCTTATTTGATTTTTGTCATATTTTAACCTGCATTCATTTGCGCATATGTGTGTATGCATGTAACTATGCAGTATGCCGTGCATAAATGTATGTAATCATCACTGCAGTCAAGATTCAGAATTATTCTATCACCAGTCTATTTTTAATCCTTCCTATATTACAGGGCTTTTTGACCTTGATACTATTGACATTTGGGGTCAGATCATTTTATGTTGGGGGAGGCTTTTCTGTGCATTGTAGGATGTTTAGCAGAATCCCTACTCACTAGATGTCAGTAGCAGTCCCACCCTATCCCTGTCATGATAATCAAAAATGTCTCTAGACTGTGCCAGATGTCCCATGGGAGGCAAAATTGCCCCTGGTTGAGAACCACTGCTGTAGAGAGAGCTGGTGGAATCATCCCTACCATCTGCGTCTTTCCTCTTATTTCCCCTGTTACAAAGTGAAGTAGCAAATGTTATCAAGTATCAAAGAATGATATTTCACTACAAAGTCTTTTTAATTCTGAGTCTATCGGAATACTCAAACTTCACTGTGAATTTTTATCAGTAGATGGTGAGTATTCCCAGGATTCCATTATAAATTTAATCTCAGTTACTGCATTTCACCTGCTCATCTCTTATCAAGAGTCTGGAATTTACTCAGGTCTTCTGAAAATATTTGAAGACTATTCTTTTTTGACCTCTCTTACAAACAGGTTACTGCTGATAACCTAAGACAGACACAGTCCCTAAGGCAAGCAGAAGTGGTAAGACTGGTTCTCCTGGAAACATGAATAGAAGGATATATATTTTGATAAGTAGACTCAGGCTTGGTCTTTTTTTGTGTAAAACTCTAAGTTTAGTGATTTCAGTGGACAAATTTTTTCAAAACATATTTGGAATGTGTTTCTTGAGTTAGGAGGTTAGCTTATGTGAAGAGTATGCCATCATGTATAAACTAAGTAAATGAGCCATGAGGAAATTATAGGTGCTTATTGAGGACAGAAAAGAAGGTTAGAAATTTTAAACATCTGTAGTATGATGCCAATCATTGAAGAATTCCCCAGAGTGCTTCTGGGGGAAAAAAAATACTTCTGGAAGCTGAGGGGTGTTTTAAAAAGAAAGTATTGTCTTCCCATCACTCACTGCATTTGAATAATTCTTACAGCCTTTGTTCCCATTTGAGAATAGTCAATGAGTTTAAAGGTCAAGGCAGAACGTGTAGCTTATCTGAGTTGTTCTATAATCTGTCAAAGAATTGTGAAGGATCTGCGTCTCTACTTACAAGCTATCTATTTCATGAATACTAGCAGAAAACACAAGATTCCTACGTGAGAAACAAAGGTGTTTGTTACAGCAATATCAGTGGCCAGCGTGTCAGCATTTTCTGGCATTATTACCCAAGCCCTAATTTCCACAGGGCGATACAAAGAGAGCTAGATGACACCTGTACATACAGTGGTTTGCATTATAGGAGAGGAAATCCAAACATGGGAAACACAAATCTTTTATAATGGGCAGTAAGCATGACTTCCCTTTGCTCTGTAAGAAGATACTTTATCTTCTAAGACTAGTCACTATAGAAATATCCTTGAAAAAATAGTCCAGGCTGGGTTTGGTGACTCATGCCTGTAATCCCAGCACTTTGGGCGGCTGAAGCGGGCAGATTGCTTGAGCTCAGGAGATCGAGACCAGTCTGGGCAATGTGGCGAAATTCCATCTCTACGAAAAATGCTAAAGCCAGGTGTGGTGGTGCAGACCTGTTGTCCCAGCTACTCAGGAGGCTGATATGGGAGAAGTGCTTGCACGCAGGAGATTGAGGCTGTAGTGAGCTGAGATTGTGCCACTGCACTCCAGCTTGGGTCACAGAGCAAGACTATCTCAAAAAAAAAAAAAAAAATGACAATTGTCCAGAAGAAAGACAATGTATTAGTTTGCTATTGCTTCTGGAACAAGTTACCTTGAACTTAGTGGCTTAAAATGACACAGATTTATTAACATCTAGTTCTGGAGGTCAGGAGTCCAAAATTGATCTGAAAAGGCTAAAATCAAAGTCTGTGTTCCTTCTAGAAGTTGCAAGGGAGAATCAATTGCCTTTTCAGTTTCTAGAGGCTGCCCACATTTTTTGGCTTGTGGCCACATCACGCTAACCTCTACTTCATTGTCATATCTCCTCTGACTCTCTGCCTCCCTCTTTCCTTCATTAGGATTTTGTGATGATGTGGGGCCCACTCAAGTAATCCAGGATTCTCTCTTCATCTTAATATTCTTAATTACATCCTGCAGAGTCACTTTTGCATGTAAGGTAACATATTTTCTTTTTTTATTATTTTTTTATATTTATTTTTTTTATGGTTAATGTGTGCATTACTGGGAACTATTCTTTAGAATATTAAGAGGTCTTTTTTTTTTTTTTTTTTGAGAGAAAGAGAAAGAGGGAGAGAGAACAAAAGTCTTGCTCTATTGCCCAGCCTGGAATGCAATCTAAAAATAGGTATTAAAAACCTCTTTTATGCCGATAATTGTGCTTAACAGCGGAGACAGGAAGAAATAAGGGAAGAAGATAACAAACAGCCAACCAATATTTCATTTAAGTCTGTGAAATGCTATGCAAATGCTGAAGAGTGATTTACTTCCAATTTATGTGGTCACTTTCAAAATAGGTGTAATATGATACTGAGAAAAATGTATGTTCTGTGGACCTGGGGTGAATAATTCTATAAATATTCACTGAGTTTACTTGTTCCAGGTCTGAATTCAAATCATAGATGTCCCTGTTAATTTTCTATCTCGTTCATCCATCGAGTATCAACAATGTGGTGTCAAAGTCTCCTGCTATTATTGTGCGGGAGTCCAAGTCTCTTTATAAGTCATTAAGAACTTGTCTTATGTATTTAGGTGTTCCTATATTGGGTGCATATATATTTATGATCATTGACTCCTGTTGTTGCATTGATCCGTTTACCATTATGTAATGTCCTTCATTGTTTCTTTTAGTCTTTGTTACTATTAAAGTCTATTTTGTCAGAGACGAAAGTTATAACTCCTGGGGTTTTTTTGTTTTTTTTTTGTTTGTTTTGTTTGTTTGTTTTGCTCTCCATTTGATTGGTAAGCCTTCCACCAAGCCTTTGTTTTGAGTCTTTGTGTGTCCTTGCTTAGGAGATGGATCTGGATCAGCGAACCGATGGGTTTTGACTTTTTATTCAGTTTGCCTGTCTGTGCCTTTGATTGGGGCATTTAATCCATTTAAATTTAGGATTAATATTGATATTTGTGAGTTTAATATTGTCGTTTAATGCTAGCTGGCTATTTTGCCCATTAGTTGATATAGATTCTTCATTATGGAGATACTTTTTACCTTTTGGTAAGTTTTTGGGATGACTGATATTGGTTGTTCCTTTCTGTGTATAGTGCTTCTTTCAGAAGCTCTTGTAAAGCAGGCCTGGTGGTGATGAAATCTCTGAGTGCTTGCTTGTTCTTGAAAAATTTTATTTTTCCTTCATTAATGAAGCTTAATTGGGCTGGATATGAGAGTCTGGGTTGAAAATTCTTTTCTTTGAGGATATTGAATATTGACCCCCACTCTCTTCTAGTTTGTAGGGTTTCAGCTGAGAGGTCTGCTGTGAGTCTGATAGGTTTCCCTTTATGGGTAACCTTTCTCTCTAGCTGCCCTTAGAATTTTCTCCTTTATTTCAACCCTGGTGAATCTAATGATTATGTGTCTTGGGGTTGCTCTACTAGAGGAGTGTCTTTGTGGTGGTCTCTGTATTACCTGAAGTTGAGTATTTTTCTGCCTTACTAGATTAGGAAAGTTTTCCTGAATAATATCCTGAAGAATATTTTCCATCTTGGATTCATTCTCTTCATGACATTCAGGTACACCTATCGAACGTAATTAGGTCTTTTCACATAGTCCCATATTTCTTGGAGACTTTGCTCATTCCTTTTTACTCTTTCTTCTCTAATCTTGTCTTCTCGTTTCATTTCATTAAGTTGGTCTTCGACCTCTGATATCCTTTCTTCTGTTTGATCAATTTGAGTGTTAAAACCTGTGCATACTTCGCAGAGTTCTCGTATTGTATGCTTCAGTTCCATTAATTCACTTATATTCCTCTCTAGATTGTCTATTCTCATTAGGATTTTGTCAAACCTTTTTTCAAGGTTCTTAGTTACTTTACATTGGGCTAGAACATGTTCTTTTAACTCAGAAGTTTCTTATTACCCACCTTCTGAAGCCTAAATCTGTTAATGGAATGCACTCGTTCTCCATCAGGCCTTGTTCCCTTGTTGATGAGGAACTGTGATCCCCTGTAGAGGGAGAGGCATTCTGATTTTGGGTATTCTCAGCCTTTTTACGCTGGTTTCTTCCCATCATTGTAAATTTATCCACCTGTCATCTTTGTAATTACCGACTTTCAAATTAGGTCTCAGTGGACGTCCAACTTGTTGATTCCCAGTGCCGGAATCTGAGCAACCCACTGCAAGTCCAAAACAGCGGCATTAATATTCGTGGTGCTTTTCTGCCTGGGAATCTCCGGTCTGGCTTCCTTCTTGAGTCCCTCTTTCAATCAGCTGAATAAGCGACTCTGCCTTCCTGGAGCTCCAAACGTCAACCAAAAGGGGACCCAGTCCTGTTTACTCTGCACCAGGAACTGGCACGCTGGCCACAAGAGTCGCGCTGGCGACCCATGGGGTTCCTCCGCTGGGGACCCATGGGGTTCCTCCGCTGGGAATCTCCTGGTCCGTGAGCAACAAAAATTCGTCTGAAAGTGTGGCGTCCTCTCGTTCTCTGTGCTTTCACTGGGAGCTACAATCCTGAGCTGCTAGTAATCAGCCATCTTGGATCTCTCTCATAAGGTAACATATTTTCAAAGGTTTTTTCTTTTTTTCTTTTTTTTTTTTTTTTTTAAGAGATAGAGTCTCAGTTACCCAGGCTAGAGTGCAATGGCACAATCACAGCTCACTGCAGCCTCAACCTCCCAAGCTCAAGTATTCCTCCCACCTCATCCTCCCCGGTAGCTAGGATCACAGTATATACCACCATGCCTAGCTAATTTTTTTCTTTTCTTTTTTTTTAGAGATGGGTTCTCTGTTTCCCAGGATGATCTCAAAATCCTGGGCTCAAGTGACCCTCCCACCTCAGCCTCCTAAAGTGCTGGAATAATAGGCCTGTGTCACTGTGCCCAGTCTCAAAGTTTCTGCAGATTAAAATGTGGACATCTTTGGGCAGCCATTGTTCTATCCACTATAGGCAGGCAGTGCCTCTATTCATAAGATGTGCAGAATCAGGAAAGACCTATAAAGAATTGTCATTCAACAATGTCCACCCCTTGTTTCTGTACTTTCTTGACTTCTGGCAAACTTTCCCATGAGTATGCCACACTGTTAGTCCAATGAATCTGCACCAGGGGCTGGGACCAAATCTTTTCAATTTGTTTCATACAGCATTAATACGGCTATTGTCAATGAGACTCCTGGTAGCAAGATAAGGCCAACCTACAATATTAATAACCATGCTTTCCAGTGTTCCAGGCCCAGTTAGCCAAACAAATCTCATAAAGCATTAGGGTCTACTTTGGCTGCCTCTGTGGCGTTGTTTATGTATTGATTTTTTCCACTTGGCCCAAGGAATAAATCCAAGTACAGCAAGATGTATTAGCATTTGCACATATTTTGTCATGGCCTGCAAGGAGGAAATCTAGGACAATTAATCAACAACCCTAAACAGTAAAATCAGGTGGATTCGAATCCCTTCCAGAGCCAATATGATGCCACTGATCATTTCAGCTAAAGTTAGGAAAAATTTTTTTCCACTCTTTTAATTGGCTGGCTTACATTGTAGGAATAATTGGCACAAGTGCATACACACAGCAAGTCAGTTATCCCTCTGAGAAAATCCTCTGAGTAATCTAAAGTAGCCTCATTTGGATAGTTCTCCAGTTATCTTAGGACAATGTGACTACTGATGGTGTTTCCTTAAACACTTGAAGCTTTCTTATGACCACCCCTATGGTGTAACTCACTGTAAGGTGTTTTGGGGTTTGGCTTTGTTTTAAGTTGAAGTCTTACTCTGTCACTGAGGCTG